TTTCCCTACTCAGTTCTTCCCTATCCTATCAAAAGCTGTGATGCTTAATTCCAGAAGGCTGCTCAAACTACCAAGGAGATGTTCTTGTTTCATCTGTCTTATGTGAAACATTTTAATGTTTAATATAAAATTAACATTTCAGCATCTTAACATAAAGTCAATAGCACTTGTTAGAGCCGTTATGCAGTAAAATAAATTCCTATGCCAGGTTCTGGATTCTCTAGTGTTCTGAGGGACTCTCAAAAATTTTATACAGTTACAGGTAAGAACGGACTAATCAGGATTATGATACTGGAGAAAAAATAACATAATATTCAAAAGTCTCTATGGCTTTGTTTGGAAAATCTGCAGGAAATAAAAGCAATGATTTGGTTTATCCAGTTATGGTAAAGATGCAGTTCTGACCTTTCTGTTATTTTAGATTATCTATGGGTGTATGTGAATGCAGTGTCTTCATGAAGCTGGTTTGCTTTCTCTGCAGGAACTACTGGCTTTACATTGAATTTGGGTGGCACAACTGCTCCAACTACAACTGCCTCCACAGGCCTTTCCTTAGGAGGAGCCTTAGCAGGCTTAGGAGGTACACTCTTCCAGAATACAAGCACAGCAGCAGGTGAAACTTACTTTAGTTTTTTTCCTCCTTGTGTGTCAAAACATTGACATTTAAAGTGTGATTGTATATAGACATAATGTAAGTTTTAGTTTATATAAAATCTTAATACTGTGAAAGTGACTGAAGTGTTAGTTAAGAATAGTGTTGCTGTCCATGAACAATACAAATGAAATCTGAAATTATTGGCTTATTATTCTGAAACTTACTTGTACTTAACATGTTTTTAAAAAACGAAAACACAAAGAAATCTTTGTCGCTGCTGTAACTGACTCAAGGAAGTTGATCATAAATAGGAGAGCGATGATGTCTGAAAGCTCCTTGTTTTGATGCCTTTGGGTCTGAATAAAATCTTTAGCTGTTAGTATTGTTTCATGGCTTCCTGTCTTTCAGCTGTAGAGGAAAAATTTGTTACATTTGTTGTAGTCGTGGTAACACTGCTCTTAAAGCCCAAATGGAACAGAAAGATACTTAAGAGGATAAGTCAGCTACTTAGCTACCTAGTAACATGAAGAAATTACATGGAAAACTTGTGTAAAATTGTATGAAACTTTGTGTAAACAGTTTTCTTTATTTTGCATATTTTTAAATCTAATTTTAGTAAATAGACAATGGAACTGCATGCTTTTAGCTTAAGATAAGTTTTAATTATCAGTGTTTTAAGTGCAAAAATTCTGCTTGGGTTTCTTGTAGGACTTGGACAGAATGCTTTGAGTTTGACTCTGGGCACAACTGCAACTCCTTCAACTACTGCCAATGAAGGTCTTGGTGGCATTGATTTCAGTAGTTCTTCAGACAAAAAGAGTAAGCTTGTTTTAAGACATTCTAATTTTTTTTAATTGAGAAAATTACAGGCATTACAGCAAAGACAGTATTTCATTGTGTTAGGAATGTGCAATTAAATCTGACCACCTTAACTTCCCTCCTACAACTCAGACATTAGTTATTGCTGATCTTAGATATTGTGCTTGTATAGAAGAATAAAAATTTGGTTTCAGACACCATGTAATGTAAATTTCTTTATTTAAGCATAAGCCAATATCATACTTGAGATCCAGGATCTGAAACCCCTTAGCTGTTCAGGAGTGAAGGCTGATCTGGTAGTTTGAAAAACCACGGCAGATTTCTGAACAGCTTCAAGTCAAATAGCCACTAGAGGGGGGAGCAGAACTATGTGAAGTAATGCATTGCAGATAACAAGAAGTACTTGTTTGAAACCAGCTTTCTACAACTGTAACAGATCGTAAACTTGGTTTCTTTTTTCAGAAGCCTGCATGATGAAAATGTCCTATTTTTAGCTGTTACTCTTCAAAACTGTATTTCTGGTGCTGCGTTGTTCTATGAGATAGAATCTTTCAGGTTGTTGAATGAGTTATAAAAACTTCAGTGGTAGCTTTAAAGTACTTAAGGGAATATTTGCCATTGACATATGGACACTTATGAATTTGTCTTGTTTTTATACTTGCAGAGTAAGCTCAGCTAAAGCTGATTCTAAAATGTGCATTTTTCTCTGTGGAATCAGTGCTGTTAATTTAACTCTGATTCCATTCAGGAGCCAAATGTTAAATTAGGTATGCCAATAGCTAAAAGAGAAGGAAATATAGAAACTGTGACACCATCTTTACAGAGGAACTGAAGTTGTGGAGACACAGTTCTTCATGCTCATGGAAGAGATGACATATTGACTGTCCAAATGGGAGTACTCTACATGATGTTAATTGGTTCTGGAGTTTATTGCTGGAACTGAAAGTGATGAAAAAGCTCCAATTTGAGGATCTTACATGATTACCACCACTATAATGTTAGGATATCACAATACTTTGATATTATACAAGTATATTAAAATGAGGCCCAAAGAATCAGACTCAAAATCTACTTGGCTGACATCTGTCAGCATTGTTTTGCCCAGCTTTTAGAGTGGAAACTTGAAAAGTACCTGACTTCCTCATGTGTTACTTGGTGGAACTGGGTGAGTTAGACTGCCACTGTCAGGATAAGTAGAGATCCCTTGGCTAAGCAGTGGAAAATGTCAATGGAGACTGATTATTTTTGTTTGGTTGTGGTTTTTTTTTTGGTTTTTTTGTTTGTTTGGTTGGGTTTTTTTTTGTTTGTTTGTTTTTTGTTTTTGTTTTTTGTTTTTATTTTAGGAACATTTCCTGTCAGTGCTGCTTAAGCTGGCACTAGCCATTACAAGTATCCCTGCCTGTGTGCTACTACACAGTTCTGCCAATGCAATTGCTTCTATTGCTATATGAGCATCTGCATTAATGTTTGAGGGTGGTGATTTTGTGGTTTTGAGGTTTTTCTTTTCCTTCCTGAAGAAAAGGAAGCAGGAGATGTGGCTAACAAAGAAAAGTGCCCTAGGAACCCCAGGACAGATGGGGGCTAGCACCTGTGTTCTCTCTCCTGGACTGGGTTACAAAAATTCCTTCTGGACACTGAAGAGTGTCTAGTATTTCTTTAAAATATGGCTGCAGGGGAAGAAGCTGTTCTTACACATCTTCCTCACGTATTACTAAAGAGTGTAAAGACTGGAGTGCTTGCCCAGAAAGTAGCAAAATCTGATTTCAAATCTGTATCTTTTACTTTGTAAGTATTGTTCTGATGTACAAAACTACCGAAAGAGTAGCTGGAGAGAGAAAGCCAAGTATGCTTAGTTTTTTTTATGAATTTTTAGGTTGTTGGCAGAGAAAAGAATCCTGAATTCTGGGGTTTGATCCCCTTTTTCCAACAATTTTGTGTAGATTTTTTATTTTCTGTTAGCCAGAGCCACAGGGAATGGTTATGAGACTCCAGGCTGTTGAATGTACTGGGTGACAGCCTGCAGACCATTTGAACAGATATTGCTTCTAAAAGTAGTACCTTCTCCTGGCAGGAGCACTGGCTTGTGCAGCTTAATGTTTGTGGCACTAGTATTAGCTGCACAGCTGCCTTCTGTGGTGGTGGTAATGAGAGGGCAGTGAGGATGTGAATGGCACCCAGCAGAAGATGGTGAACCTCTCTTCTTGGTCTTTCTGAACCTAGCAGACAGCTGTAGAATGGGGTGCAACTACTGCTATGGCCATTACCAGACCTAATGCAATAGCAGAATTCTTAGGGAAGTCCAGAGAGCATATCTTCATTACCTTGGCATTTGAGAGGAGACTGCTGTTGCTTAATTTAAACACTTGAAGGTTTCGTGGGTGCAGGTCTAAGAGTTATGGTTTCGTAAGAAGGAACAGATTTCTTGCACAACTGCAGTTGTTTATGCATTTTTAGAGACTTGTGTAGTCACACAAGATGTTTTGCATTGATCTGTGCCAAGAAATTAGCACCTCAGCTGTTGAACCATTGTTTTTGAAAAGATATTTATCTGTGAAGGGGGAGTAAATTAAAACTTTTCTTTTCTGGTGAGCCTAGTCTGTTCCTTTTCGTGAAGACAAATCAAGCACAGTGAAGTCGTGTTGTTCTACCCGAAAATCTCATTAAGGTGGTTTTGCTTGTTCTTCAAAGCTTTTTTTCTGACCTACAGTTTTATTTTCTAGGTGACAAAACAGGAACAAGACCAGAGTAAGTGTCAGATTTACTTTGCGTTTGATGTCTTATTAGAAAACAGCTCAACTAAATATGTTGGCTTCTCTACTGCATTGATCTTGAAAGAGGCATAAATGTAAATAAGCAACTTGTGTAAAATAGCCAATGTAGTAATGGTGGTTTTGTCGTTTTACACATTGCAATTTTCCCATCAATGCAATACCTACAGCTTGTCTAGCACCTTCTATAGACTGATCATGTGCCTGAAAAATGATTTCTCCAAATGTGTACAAAGCTTACACCGCAGGCTTGGACCCTGACATACTCAGTGGATCAGTCCAGATCACTTGCAGCTGCAGCATACCTGCGAAGGCTGCAAAACTCTGTAATCAGTTAGTTGAACTTTTTAGTGATACTTAGTAGTCACAAAAAAAATTTGGCAGTACTAAAGCACTGTCTAAATGTGTGTTCTCTTGTAGAGATAGCAAAGCACTCAAAGATGAAAATCTACCTCCAGTAATCTGTCAAGATGTAGAAAATCTACAGTAAGTAGTGTTTTTGACTTTGAGAGTTGATTAGCTAATTTATCACATTGCTGTTGATGCTCTGTGACTAAAACACCCTAGTGCAGACTGCATGCAGGATAACTTACTACCCTAAGGCCTTTCAGCATGTACATATTAATAATTTGATAGGTATCTTAGTTTTTCAGTGTTCAGCATAAAGTGTTTAGACACTTGCTGTAGAATTTGGGGGGGCTGGTGACTTTCACAGTATTAGAACGCTAGGTGTTCAGATAATACATGCCGTATAGTAACTTTCTTCTTCAGTGCTTGATTTTGGAAAAACTAATTTAATAGCTATTAATGTGACAGAGGTAAATGCTTGGGTACTTCAGGTTCAATATATTGTTTCTTTGCTCCCCACCGCCTTCTTTTTCCCTTCCTCAGGAAATTTGTGAAAGAACAAAAACAAGTTCAGGAAGAAATCAGTAGAATGTCCTCTAAAGCAATGCTTAAAGTGCAAGAAGACATCAAAGCTTTGAAACAACTTCTGTCTGTAGTTGCCAGTGGATTACAGAGAAACACTCTTAATATTGACAAACTGAAAGTGGAAACTGCACAGGTATAATCAAATATAAATTTTAATGTGTAGAGTTTGAATGTTGATTATTTTATATAGGATAACTAGCTTTATCAGTCACGTTAATTCTTGTGTCTAAAATAAGCTGTAAACAAAGTGAAAAATGTAGTCCCTTCTAATCAGCTTGATGTTTCTGAGGGAGACTGAAATCTGTATTTTTGGATAAATTTAACAGAAATAAGTTCTATTCACGAGAGCACTCCTACATAGCAAAGGCATCAGAAGGGAATGTGTGCCCACTGTAGTTCAGTTTCAGTTACATTCAGCTGCTAATGAAGACCTATTTGTAAGAACAAGCTGGAGTCTGGAGCAGCAAAAATGCAAGTATGTTTCCTTCTGAGTTTAAAAAAAAAGAAACCCAACACTAATAGCAATTAATTCAAATTACCTTAACTAGCACTAGTGACTGAAGTTCATTAAATGAATACAACTCTGTCCTCCAGTCTGCATCTTAGCTGTGCAGTCAGTTTGAGCTCAAGCTTTGATGCAGGTGCTTTTCAAGTTCCATACTACTTTTTAATTCCTCTCGTATGCCGAGGCTGCTTGCTACATAAATAAGTGTATTTGATTCTAAATTTAAAATGCTGATGTTTTTTCTCTATCTTGTGATACCAAAAGGAGATACTCTATAGTTGTGCCTTACAAACAGTTTTCTGTGAAAACTGACTTGTTACTGATATTGTCACATTTCCATGAATGATGCAGTTGAGAATAATTGCAGAATCAGGCACTGAGAAGCTTTTAATTGCAGAGTTATTAGAAAGTATTAAAGCAGAGGTATTTGCTGTAATTATTGTGCATAAAAAGATTGTTTTCATAGAAATAGAGGCATTTTTTTGAACTAGTTAATTTTTTTTAAAAGGCAAAATAATCCTTTTTGTTCTGTGTGTTTCTTTTAGCTGTGTTACTTCCTTGCACTTGACTGTTGCTTTTTTTCCTACTAGTCCTTAACTGTAATAGGATTTCTGAAGTACAATAGAAATTAGATCTTATTTCTGATAGTTCAGTGCAATATTTTCTCAACTTCCAAGGTCTCTGTGTGCTTTCAGAGTGTGCTGTTGTTTGTTCCTTCCCAGACTTCTCTGGTATTTCTCCAACTTTCTAGCTGTCTGTTCTTTAAAGAATTTCTGGTCAGATTCTGTCATTGTGTTTAACCTAAATATATGAAGAAAACATTTTATTTGAATGAACAGTAGAGTTACAGCTTTTTGGTTTTGGACACTTCATACAGAACCTTATCTTTTATTAATTTTCCTTATATATTTAGGAGCTAAAGAATGCAGAAATAGCATTACGAACACAGAAAACTCCTCCTGGTCTCCAGCATGAAAATACAGCCCCAGCAGAGTGAGTTGCTCTTATTCATTTAAAAAAAAAAAAAAAAAGCTATAATATAACTTAGAGAAGACTCTGGGGAGACCTGATTGCAGCCTTTCAGTACTTAAAAGGAGCTTACAAGAAAGATGGGGACAGATATTGTGATAGGGCCTGTAGTGGTATGACAAGGGATGATGGCTTTAAACTGCAAAAGTAGACTCAGACTAGATGTAAGGAAGAATATTTGTTTATTTTAATTACAATGAGGGTGGTGAAACAGTGGAACAAGTTGCCCAGAGAGGTAGAGACCACATCTCTAGGAATATTAAAGATTGAGTTGGACAGGACTCTGAGCAAACTGATCTAGGTGATGTCCCTGCTCGCTACCGTGAGGGGTGGAATAGATGACCTTTAAAGATTTTTTCCAACCCGAACCATCTTATGATTTTCTGAACTTTGTAATATTTCTTCTGCTTCTTGTAACATTTGTATTGAATGGTTTACAGAATCAGTGTTTCATTTATACATTTACCTTTTATCTCATAGACATGAGAAATAGTTTTTACTCTCTTTCCACTAATAAAAGGACATAAAGAATATCATAGAACTTGATGACTAATTAAATTAAAATCAGCAGTTAGTGTAGATTGGATTAAAAAAAAAAATAGTGGCAAGCTAGTGAAGTTTAATGGTGATTTCATTGTTTTACTCATTTAGCTACTTCAGAATCTTGGTTGAGCAGTTTGAAGTACAGCTGCAGCAATACAGGCAGCAAATAGAAGAACTGGAAAATCATCTTGCTACTCAAGCAAATAATTCTCACATAACTCCACAAGGTAATAGTTTCATACATAAAAACTAAAATCTTTTAACTATAAGAAAAACTTAGTAATTAATCTTTTCTGTTATTGTTGGATTTCCTTACTTAATGTACAGAAATAGTGTTCAGATAGATTCTGCAGTTATTCAATGTAGAGATTTGGAATTAGAGGTTATATTTATAAAAGTTCTTGAACTTTTTATGATGGATCCAGTTCCTGAGGTGCGAATTTGTAAGCCTGGTTTATTTTGACATCCATTGCCTTCCCTTCAGCATCTAGATGTTATAAGGCTGATGTCTGGCACTTTGACTTGTCTGGTCAAACAATCCAGTGCAAGTACAGGTGTCTACTCTGCCAGCTGCAGATCAAAATAGGAATTTTCCTTAGTTTGAAGACTGTTGATATTGCCTTCAGCTCTGACTAGTCAAGAAAATTGTGGTGTTTGCTGCCACATCATTCAATCTTGAATCTCTCTGGTTAGAGAATACTGACCTCTGGACAGTAGCCTTCTGGTTGGTTACCATTCCTGTGATACAGACATTTTTATCTTTTGGGCTGTTTTAGATACAGGTTTTGCAATAAGCAATGACTTCAAATACTTTCTTTTTGTGCCATCTTAAACATCTTGCTGTCACAGGATGTACCTAGACTCTAGACCTTATGTCAAAACCAAGAGAACTGTCTAGACCTAGCTTCCAGAATGGGAGATCTGCCGAATCTTGAGGGTCATCAGTCTTTCTGTATGATTTTGTCTGTCCAGAGCATGAGATGCTTTCATAAGCTCTCCTCAGGTTTTTCAACAGTTTCTGATATAATCTAAAGGTTTCTTGCTTGTGTGGGCAAAGGTCAATCTGTTGTGCCAGCATTCTCAGACTATCATGAGGTGATCTAGTCAACACTGTGTTGCATATGTAGCCTCCACCATACATGGAGAACTTCCTTTACCATAGACGAAATGATGACCCAGAATGTCTTGAACATTTTGAAAGGTCTGGTATTCAGTATCAATAAATTGCTTCCAGACTCCTTGGAAACTTGTGGCCAGTCTTCCTAGATAGCACTGCCTCCACAACCCTAGAGGCTGGCATGGGGTTTATTGCCTAGTTTTTCTTTTTCATGTCAAAATGCAAATTATAATGGAGAAATTCCGTTATGGAGAGGCAGACATTTTAGATCAAGAATCATTGCTAGGCCTATACCTCTTCAAGAACATGCTAGCTACTAATTGTACTTCAGTAGATTGTATACATCCTTCAGAGGAAAGAGGGTAAAAAGACTACTTCAGCACTTTTCTGTTCTCAGTTTTGGTTCATTGTTTCATTGCTTCTTCCAGAAAAGCATTTTTTGTCAGCAGATGCCTCATTCTGCCAAAAATTCATATTTCCCCTTTAATCCTAAAGTTTTGCATTAGTTGAGTTCAGTAGATTGAAAACACTTTTGTATCTGAGTGGGAAGTAGGATATGCTAAATCTAAGACATGATGTAGGCAAGAAGCTTTCCATTGTGTTTCTCTGTTTATGATATGCTTGTGGGAGGGGCTAGAATAAGAATTCCTGTGCTTGTTAATCATCTCTTTAAAATGCAGGTAAAGTTTCCATTCTGCTCTCTGGCAAAATCAGCTGAACACTTAACTGTGCTTTAAGTCAGAGTGGAAAATATATAAAGTTAAATCAGATTTTCTTGCATTTCTTAAAACAATGAGGTAAAATGTTCCTGTGTAACTAGATAAAATTAGGTTAATTATTTTTTTTGGCTTGCTAAATGATAGAATCATAGGAAACAAATTACCTTTTGTATCAAAATAAATCTGAGAAAAGGGTACTTTTCAAAATAGATTGAAGGCCTTTCAAAAAGTAGTCCTTGGGTGACTCATGCCACCCAGTTGATCTCAAATTCTGTATTTCTTACAGACATCAACTTGTTCTTGTGCAATTGTTTGTGCTTTGTGCTGTATGGGTTTTGGGTAGGTTTGTTGCTATGGCATAAACACTAAATCTTTTCTCCGGGTAGTAATATTGTCACCAATATTTTATTTGCCTCTTACAGATTTGTCTATGGCTATGCAGAAAATTTATCAGACATTTGTAGCTTTAGCTGCACAACTTCAATCAATACATGAAAATGTAAAGGTATGTTGTTTTGATGTATTCTTCTGTATTTCGTGAAAGAACTACATAGAGTCACTTTCTGAAAATATATCTTCAGGTGTTGTAGTTAATTTAACAGCAGAAAAAAAACACGCCTCAAAATTCTAAAACTGTCCTGGAGAAGTGCTTGAATTAGGAGTAACTTTTGGTCAGCTGAAGTGTAATTTGAATTATTTACTTATAGTCATGACAGGAACTGACCGTGATCATTTATGTGACAAAGGAAAAGGAGTTAAATGAAAAACATTTTTTTTTTAATTGTTGATTGATTTTTGAAATATCTGTATTTGAACTCATGCTTGTATGTTTTGCTTTTTTGCCCAATGATTATTTGAGCTCAAGCAAAGGTCTAGGTCTGCTCTTACTTAAATAGGTAGCAGGAAAAAAAGTAGGTATTTGATATTTTAAAAATTTTAAAAAGAATTTTGGTGAAAATTGTGTTCTGGCTGGCTTTTAATTTTTTTTCAACCTGGTTTTCATGGGAAGACATATTTCTAAAAGACTACTGTGGGGAAAAGAAAAATGCTAATATATCAAATCATAGTTAGGCTTGGGTTTTTCCATCATGGACTTTGGCTTGATTTTCCCACCTATAGTTCTGGACATACTGACAAAATGTCAAATGTTCTACAATCTGTGTTTTTTCCTTGATCATCAAAACCCTCTTGATTCGGAGGTGGGGGGAAGAAAAAAAAAAAACACCCACACCACAAACACCATCTTGGAAAAGAGTACAAGTGTTTGGAATTGTTTCTTCTAAGTGACTTTCTTAATGGGAATAGCTCTGATCAGTCTTCACCGTGTTTCTTCTTTTCTACTGCTAGTTCTACATTCAGGAAAAGTAAGTAGCTTCAGATATTTAAAGTTCAGGAATACTGAAGATTATGAACTAGATGCCATGCATTGCATTGCTTCTGTCAACATGGATATTCACTGCTTTACAGCTACCTGCCATCAGATATTTGTGCTGCTTTTAGCTTACTTGGTTTTGGTACCAGATACAGAATATATTAGCTTCTCTATAATTCAGTGGAGTTATTCAGAAAGGTTCCCGACCCTGTTCTGGACTCTTCACTTCTGAGATTTGAGTGTAGCCTGAGCTCGTGCAGTGGTCTTTGTGAGGATAAGTTTTTGTGGCTCTTCAATATGAAGAGCAGGATTAGTATGCAAGTAAAAGCACTAGTATCTTCAGTACCTTTTCAGGATGACTGTACGGGAAGACTTTGTTTCGGGCAATAGAATACTTCTTAGGCTGAAGTAAAGGGGTTGATTTGAGGATTTTTCTTTCTTTTGTGGAATTTTTTTGAGGTTTAATCTAGTGGGTGGACATGAAGGCTGATGTTTTGGAAGACAAAATTATAACTAAAGCTTCAAAATTCAGAAAAATGAATGTATTGCATAAGTGGATCTGTCATTGCCACTGACTGCTTTATTAGCTAGTAGATGGAGAACAGTTTTGAAACTGCTGTCTCTGCCTGTTGTGATGGCTGTGATATGGCTTGTGAAGGCAGAGCTGTGACCACAGTTCATTCCTTTGTCTGACTGGTTTTCTGTCTTGCACGTGCACTTTTATTTGAAGGTCTGAAGTTGTATTAAAAATATGGCCTGAAACAACTTTGCACAGGGCTAGTTGTTAAATATATATATGTCATATATGAACATATAGATACATCCTGTATCCAAGGTCAATGAAGAGTAAAATGTGCTTGGGGACAATTCAGGTAGATAATTTAATCATTCTGCACAGATTAGCCTTAGGAACTGTTCTACAATATCTAATGGCATTTGTGAGCTCCTGTGGCAGTCAGCGTGGCACTTCATTAAATCTTACCAGGGTTGCCCAAATGTCTCTTCTCTCCAAAGATAACACTCCTGATGTCATAATGAGGTCATTCTTTCTGTCTGTTCCCTGCTGTTGCTGATAAGATTAGAGCTGTTTGAGTCCTGAGTTAGAATTTTTGGACTGTAAGCTCCTCTTCTTGGAAACAAGCATATCCTTGGCCAGGAACACGGGACATAGTACTGCCTCCATAAAATTCAATTGAGCCTACTGTTCTTTAGTTTCAATTAATCAATTACATTTAAAGATTCTCTGTTAGAAATCATTCTGTCAGTTCTTTAATTGAAGCCATTTATTCTTTTGTGTTACCTAAGATAGCTGTAGTTCTCTCGTCTGGCAGAAGCAGCCCATGATGGAACAGGTCAAGCCAGGTGTTGCCACAGAAGGTGGGGTTTTGAGGGGGGGAAGGACATAGGCAAGGGGGAGGAGGCATGACACAATGAATTTGGGCTGCTTGTTAGTCTAAAGCAGAATGATTATTGGATTTGCACTGTGTTACATTGATGAAATGCATCAGAAGCAAGAGTGAATTCTAAAATTCTGGCAATTGAATTGTCTGACTTACACCACCTTTGAAAGATTTTGATACCATTTGGTATGTTAGTCTGTTACACTTGACTGCTTTGCAGGATTTCAGTAAGGAATTTGTTCTGGCTGTGGCTGGTATGAAACAATAATTTTCGGCTTGTAGCCTAACTAGATCCTTTCAGGGTGTTGGGGGCTTTCTTATTTTGGGAAGGGAACTTTATAACTCAGTGTTTCTGTCCTTATTACATTATGTTTTTGTCAAATACATTGAACTAAATGGCTTCCCCCCACCCTCTTCAGATGCTCAAAGACCAGTACCTTGGCTACAGGAAAACCTTTCTGGGAGATGCCATGGATGTGTTTGAGGCCAGGCGGACGGAAGCCAAGAAGTGGCAGAGCGCGCCACGCGTCACCACGGGACCGACCCCCTTCAGCAACATACCAAATGCAGCAGCCGTTGCCATGGCTGCAACTCTTACTCAGCAGCAGCAGCCTGCTACAGGTCTGAGTGCATTCAAGTTATAGATTATTAGTGTTGCCACAGTAGTAAATTTGTGTAAAATTTTCTATGAAGTCTTCCTTTGTGTTAGACTAAAAATCTCAACGTTGTGATGGGCAAAGTTACTGATACATAGCCAGTAGAAAAATGCAGGGTAGACTTAGCAATAATTATTCAACAGATACTTAATCTTGTGAATTTACTTGTATTAGTGATATTTACTGTACTGTTCTAACTTACCCCTTGGAATGTGAGTCTTCACTCTTTAAGTAACATCTCTGAATACACGTAGTATAGCCTCTTTCCAGAATTGTATGGTTGTAGTAAATTATTTCAAATCAGTAAGGAGAGAATATCTAAATGCATACTTACCTTTTTCTAATGTAAAATTAATAATGCATTTTTATATAGCACTTTGGAACTGTAAAATGAAAAACGCTGTAGAACAGGAAGGATAGTGGAGAAAACATCTGTAGAATAGGAAGATGGTTGCCTGGCTAATTACTTTACAGCCAGCTCCTTTGCCAGTTGGTGTTTGCCATTCCATTGTTGGGAATAAATATTTAAGAAAGTAGGGGCAGATCAATGGTTCTGTGTGTGCTTGTAAGAAGATGATCAAAACAGGAAATGCATGACCCACTGCTAATGAAGGATGGATATGTATGTGGCAAAGGAAATCACTTAAGGTACCTTAGCTGGCATTGTTATACTGACCAACACTTCCCAGAGAAGGACTCCTGAATGTAATGAATTAATATTTAATAATTTAACAGTAATAAGATAAATTCCATTTAATTTTACTTGAACATGGATATGTCTGTCAGCAAATTATAAAAAGCATAGATAACTCCGTGCTACCATTTGTTTGCTAAAATGTTGTTTATCATGGCTATCTGGAGAGTCATATTGTCACCTTTTCCTTCTCTTGTCTTAGAACAGCAGTCATATTTTGAACAGTTTTAATTAGATGCCTATGCAGCAACCACCCTGTTTGACAAATTAGACTGTCCTTGTCTTCTGTATAACAGGAAAATACAACAAAAAAAAATGAAGTCTTTATGAAAAATTTCACTTCTAAATTTCCATCATAAACCAGTCTTCTTGTTGCTGCTATGTTAATCCATGGAAATTTTGTTGAAGTAACATGTGCACAAGTGTCTGGTTTTAAGCAGAAAATATGCAGTAATGTCATACTTCAGGGCTTTTAACATGGTTAGAAGTGTGTTTTGTGCATCATGATTCTATGATTCTATGATAATGTTACCAGAGCAGTTCCCTCTCCCTTTGTCTTCCTCCTTGTCCCATGTTTGGTTTTTTTTTTAAACACTCTCCATGGTCATTACAGGACTAGTTGTGACATCCCAAGTATACAACCTTCATACACATTTAAAGTTCACCTGCATTGTCATGAATTGAGGTGAGGGATTTGAACTTCCTCTTTCTAGTCCAGATTCAAGAGAACTGCTAGTAACTTTAGTAAACTGATGCCACTTAGGGCATAAGTTTGTGAATATTATTATAGGAGTAAGATAGGGGGGCAGGATTGACCTGTACCAACACACCGGAGGTAAGGTGACTTTATACCTTGAGGCATTTTGTAACGTTTTGTAGTGAAAGGAGCAAATGGCAGCATGTGTAGGTTGGTTTGTGGGGTTTTTGGTTAGTTATTTTGGCAGAGTATTTCAAAAGCCAAAAATGTGCCAACTACAGGAATAATGCTGGTAGAGCAAAGCCATTAACTTATATCAAACATGCCAACAACAGTAGACAGTAATTTGTTTACTAATTAATATGGAATACTGCCACCCTCCATGCAACTCACTTGAGGACCTAGAGAAAGAGAGGTAGATTGATGTTTTGACTGATCCTTGAAAAGTACTTAAAGCCCTTAAAAAAATAGGTTTATATGGAACTTGAAGTCTGTTCTGTTCCTTTAGCTCAAAAGCAGGATTAGTCAGGCCTGAACTATCTCAGATATCTTAAAGTCTTAAAAGCTGACTAAAAAGGAAAATTTCACACCTTTCTTAAATGACAGATTTCAGTGCTTGACTTTTCCCAACAATTTACCTGAAACTACTTTGATTCAGACTAAGGCTGCCACTTTTTGTCTTATAGTGGTAAAGGAGAAGAATCTTTTTTTCTTCAGGTCTGAAGGGATCTTTAAGTATTTAAAGACTGCCTCTTCTTAATTTCCTTTTCCTTGTTTGAGTTTTCAGATGGCCTTTTGCTATGGTAAAACTGCAAGTGTTTGCATGTTTTAACTTTGTGTTAATGTTATTATGAATCTGAAGCTATCTGCTAGAAGCTAAAATCATGCATATTTCTTTGGAAGGTCTAGATCCTAAAGAGCAGAATAGATGAGTGATGGTAGAAAGTTATGAGAGAAATCTGAAATGAGTTGTATGTAAATGGGGGGAGAAAGGGGGTGTCTGTAATACCTGACCTGTCGTTGCTGTTCTTGAAGATAAGAATAAAACAAGAAAATTATTCTGGGCTTTAAAGTTTTTGACTAATATCTAATATTATGGTACTCTAGTATAGAGGGATCAGGATGGTTAGTCTCTTTTTTTTTTTTTAAATAAAAATTTTATGTTTACATGGTTAAGACTTATTTCATTACATTAATTTAGACTTAGTTACTGTTCTTTCTCTGAAAAGAATAATTTATTTTAAATCTGTGTTCAGAAGTCAACAGTTTAGGAGCTACATCTAAGCTGTGGGATCAGGGAACGTTTTCCCAGTTCCTGGGTGTAGATACACACCCAGTTTATGTTCTGTCTGTATGCCAAGCCACGTCTGGCTTGTACTGAAATAAATAAAGCCAGTGAATCCTGCCCATATGGAAGGAAGGGAGCAAAGATGCGCTCCACTGGTCTCCTGGGGTGGATAATCAGGACACCAGGACTGGTGTGCACACTGAAGCACAATTTTTGTGCAGCTTTTTGAAGCTAGAGTTAAAATTATGCTTAAGTTTTGTCTGCACACAACCTTTATCACTGTTTCAGTGCTTTTGCTCTGAGCACAGCTTTGTTGGTAGCAGTGAGGCTGATCATGCTTTTGTGCTGTAGCAGCTAGTTTTAGCCACTGCCTCACATGCACCTTCCCCGAACAGCATGAAGTTAAAATGATGCTGGCTACCCTACCTACTGTTGATGGGACTAAAGTAAAAGATTTTGAAGGAAATGAAAGCTTAGTGAAGTGAGAGCTGAAAACGCATGAGACTAAAACTGATGATTTTCTGATAAGACTAAGTTGTCTTAAATGCTCTTCTTCAAGCTCACCTTTCCTCCTAATCATAAAAAAAAGCACCTCCCCAACAACTTAGTTACTCTCTCCTTAACTGGTGCAGAGCTACTCAAAGCATTATCAAGCTATTAGCATCCTTTGTTATGTTTTCACCTGAGATTATGAGATTGAAGTGCTAATGGAAAGGATACTGAAATCTTTATAGCACTTAAAATTTTATGTAATTTGGTATTAACCTTTGTTAAAATTAGTCATTGTATAACCATGTCAGAATCAGATTTATGTTGTGACACTAAATTTGTTCACTGTTAGGACCAGCTGTGATTTAAAAAAATTGCAGCATGTCACTTCAGGAAATCTGGCTGGCCTGTCTGGACTCTTTGTAGTGGGTCCTATTCATTAAACTGAAATGCTCTGCAGGGCAAATATATCAAGTTTTAAATTGTTAAAATACTAGTTATAATGAGTTTGTCTCATACGTGTAATATCCAGAAGTGCCATTTTTTTGCTAGTACTTTTGGCATTGAAGAATCTTTACCACTAGATTTTTGCTATTGAAAATAGTTTACTTACAAGAACTGTAAGTAGTGATGATGCCTTCAGAACATTATGGGATAAAATCAACAAATATTGCACGCTGTTGCTCAATGAAAAGCTTGTTAGTCTAAGGCATAAGATTCTGTTTTATATCGTCTGAGGGGTTTTAGACTAACGTTTTTTAGTGGCTCCAAAAAGCATGTTGCATTTGGTAAAAAGCTTGGCCTGGAAGACTAGTGTTTTGTTTTAAGGTCTTCCACTAACAGTGCCTCCTATGAGAGAAAAACCTGTGCACTTGAGAAGGAACTGGATTTGTTTTTTTGTTCATTAAATGCCTAACTGACTTGTGTAGGGTTTTTTGTTTCTTTTTATTGATAACAATTTTTTTCTTAAAGAGCTGCTAGGTAGATATATCAGTATTTAAACTGGATGTAAACAAGTTTAGTTCAGAATCTATGTGAAAATTTGTAATTAAAACATCTGATATATTTCTTTTTTTTTAGTTTTTAAAAATAGTTTGGGTTTCCCAACTATTGCCTGTTAAGCAGAGACTGAAAGCTAACAACTTTAGATGCCCTTAAAATTTAGTTTAACACTACTTTGAGTATACAGATCTCATTTAGCTTGGATCACACAAGAGTTTTGTGTTCCTAGCAAAAATGTTACTTCTCAATATACAGTGCCTTCCACTTGATTCAAAATGATTTTCCATTTAAGTCTTCAAATACAGAAATAAAAGCTTGGAATATTTACATTTTAAAACTCTAGGTAAATATTAGTTATGGGAAACCTTGTAGTATGAAGGAAGAAATTCTGAATGAAAGTAAGCCCAAATGCAATGATGGTTTAGAAAAAAAAAGACTGAAATCTGAGCTTTATAGTAATACTTGAATAAATCATCACTGTCACAAATAGATTATATGAAGTGTTTTCAAGATGGAGAAGGCTATCTTAAGGAAAGGTGTGAATGTCTGTGGATTAAGAGTTTGGCACTGTATTTTATCTTCAATGGTTAAACTTTTTAACTAGTGCACTGAAAACTGTTTGAAAAGGACAGGAATATAAGATTGTACTGTGAAAACTGTCAAAATATATTAATTATTTATCAGAATTAATTATTTTAAAATGTGTTAGTAATGGACTAGCAAATTGATTCTTTATTCCCCAAGATTAAGAGGAGGAAAAAACAAGGAATGGAGCTGTAAATTTTATCTTGGCAGACTGAAAATGTTTGACAGTCCTGCATCTTAGTGTCAATATGCAGGGAAAATACTGTCAGCTTTTTTTAATTATGGGACAAACTCTGACTCTGAAATTTTGAATGTATCTAGTTCATTAAGGTACACAGAATTGTGCCTTTTGTAAATGTTTATTTAAACAGATGATTTGACTAGTTTACCTTATTGAATGGTGTTATGTAGCAGAGCTTAACAGATCTCAGTTATCACTTGTGTGGAAAAGAATGGAATTGTCGTGTTACTGTGTAATTGACTTGCTTAAAAATGAACAATAAATTTAATAAAATAAAGTCATTGTCTTGTTTTTTATCTTAGTGTTCTGTTTAAATTTGGATGGAATGCTTGATTGGTTTTGAAGATTCCTATTTAATAAATAACCTTTTGGTGGTAGAGTTTTAGTTACATTAGTGTCAGTTCTTAGGTTTTTAATTTGAAGGTTTTCCCTTACTCTGTTTCTATTAATACAGGTGGCAAAATGTTCTTACCTATGAGTTCTCTCAAGGTTTTGATTAATGTTTTAAAGTTTAAGGTGAAACTGGTTAACTTTTAAAAAATATTAAATTATGTTCTTATGTTATTAGCTTTGGCTAGTTTCACCTTATAACAATCAGTATTTTCTTAGGCTTTTACCAGGTGGACATAGAGGCAGACAGTTAAGTGAGGAATTTTGATGAGGTAGAGTTTGAGAACTTTAATAGGATTTGTTGAAAGCAATGATGTTCACATTATCAAATACTTGAATAAATAAAGGACCTCTTTAATATGAAAGAGTAAGGCAAGTTTGTTCTCATTTTTTTTATACCAGGGCCACAGCCATCTCTGGGAGTTAGTTTTGGAACGCCATTCGGCTCAGGTATTGGCACTGGCTTGCAATCAAGTGGCTTAGGTTCTTCAAGCCTTGGAGGTACACTTTAACTTTTCTAATCTTTCATTTAATTATTATACCGCACATCTGAATCTCTTGCAAAACTATAACTCCACTAAGAGGATGATCTGCTTGAGGAAAAGGCCTTACAATTTGGCAGTCTGCACTTTCCAGACTTCTTCATGCCTTTCAGGAGGAGTTGCTAAGGCTAATACTACAGCTAATTAGTCATTGTAAAACCCAGGATGAAGCAGAAGTTCTATTCTTAATGCCAGGGAAGTAGATAAAGTACACCCTTCTGTGACTACAGCTTGACTTAATTTTACATATGTGAAAGTTAGGCACCTGACATTGGATCATGTTTTAACTAATCCAGTGAAGTTTCTCAACTCTATGTACAACTGTTAATTATAGGGACCTATTTCTACTTGGATTCAGATAAGAATGAATGCTTAAAAATTACTGCAGTTCTGGCCTCCTGCTTGCTGACACATGTTTGCTGTAGCTATCACTTTGTCCCTCGGTGGTGAGGTGGAGAAAAAAAAAATCTCATCTGAAAAAGCAACATTTGAAATTGAGGGGAAAAATACTTATCAAAATGTTAAGAGGGCTGGTGGGATTGTATTCCAAGAGGGTACATGCCTGTGAAAGAGTAGGTGGTAATAAACAAAATTACAGAATTCATGTTGACGTTTTAATTTAAATGTAATGGATTCTGAGAAGTAAAACTACAAGTGGAACCTAAGTGGTTAGGTGAACCTAATCTGCATGTAAATATCTATATAGGTCAGGGGTTTCTACAGTGCAAGTCAAAAGGCACCAGTGTCCTCTGAAGCTTTTGTAGTTTCTTTGCAGATCTCATACATCCATTGAGCACAAACATAATGTTTCTTGTCCTCTCCTCTCTGCAGCCTCAGTCCACATCCCTACATTTTGCCTCTTCGAGACAAACGTGAATCAGTGTTGCCATGTATTTAAAATACTTAAACATCACTTGGTGTTGGAAAAATGATGTAACTTCAGTGTTATATTGGTTTTACTTTAAATTATTATCTTGACATTATCTTTAAATCTACCAATGTCCTTTCTTATTAGATTTTAAGCTTTTTCAGATAAAAGCAAGTCTGAACACTCAAATGGGAAAAAATAACCAACAACAGTGGGCTAAAAAGAAAGTTCCTGACCAGTATGATACTACCAGGTTGTTCTCACAGTGTTTCAAATACTGTAAAAAAACTCAAAATTCTTACTTTTCAGCCAAAGAGGTTGTAGACTAAAGATTGTTTCTATGTTCACCAAAGTAAATTAAGGAACATTTTCTAATCTGGACAACTACTTCTAGTTTTGTCTTAGAGGCCTAACTTGTTTGTTTTTTTTTTTTTTTTTGCTATTTCTCTGCTTAGGAGGGCCTTTGCTTGTATTTCAATTAATCTGTATTTGCAAAAATTTTAATCTTTTGCCAAATCAAGACCACTGGATAGAAGTGAGTGTAGAATAATAAAGGAACACTGTGAAATATCCTGCAGGTGTTCGCTTGGAAACAAATTAGCAGAATAAATACTTCAGATGTGTTTTTTTATCCTTAAGGTTTGAGTGCTTTAACAAGACAGTTTTTAATGTATACTTTTGAAACAACATTTTAATTGAGGACATGTGTTCTCTTTCCATGATAAGTATTCTGTCAGCTTTTTCAGTGACAAACATAGAGGCTTTTGCATTTAGATATACAAGATGTACATATAGATCCAATGCTTCATTCAATACTTGCTGACACCTTGCCTGACCATTGGTAATTCTTTCCAAATTAGATAAGACAAAAGAATGTATAATTTAAATAAACTATCTTGCATTCAAATGATACTTGCCATTATATACTCTTAAAGCTTACTTGGCTTAAATGTGGCACATGACTACAGAACACTGTTCCAGATAGTGCGTTCAATCCTTACTAGGTTTAAAATCTAAATTATTTCTGTAGAGGAATGGTGAAGGCTCAATCCACAGTAAAACACGTGGATTCTCCCTGGCACTTGAAACTTAAGATGGGGGTATAATTTCCCCAAATACTAATACTGTTCGTTTTTTTGAAAACCCCTTGAAACAATCAAAATCAGAGAATATATTTCTATTACTGCTCCTTTAGTCTGGCCTCTGTCTCAAACTGCGAATACCAATTTACTTTTCCTTTGAAGTCATTTCATATTAATAACACAATCTGAAATCTTGAAAGATTTATATTATAAAATTCTGTGAATTTTGTATTTGACATCTATAATGAGTTTTATTACAGCTATATGTTTATGGCTGCCCCTTACGTGATTTTTCCAATTAAATACTGTGAAATTCTGTTTCTATTCTGTATTTAACCTGTTTTGTAATTCCCTAGATAAAGCTGATCCCAAATAACTTGGGGGAATGACAACTTTGAGCCAAATGTAAACTCAGGAAAATGTTTACTCTTTTTTAAGCATGGAGAATTTTTCTTTCAGTTGCAGATAAGATTGTGGCTTTCTGTCATAGAATCATATAACTTGTCAGAATTTTCTTAGATTTGGCCTATTTTCTTGCCAACTTGACAGCAATGCAATAGCAATTTTGTAAACTCCGGTAGTTTACTTCATCTGTTTTTATAGTTTTTCCTTTACTCAGTTTTGTGTTTTGAAGGAAATACTTTTCTCCAATACTCTTTTTGCACTGATTTCTTAGTGAAATGCTGTATGGAGAATAAAATACTCTTGAGGTAATAATTTTATTAATTTTTTTTTTTTTTCTTTGTGAAATAATGCTTAGAATTGTGTTTGGCTTGAGAATCCTTGCCCAAAACCTATGTGTCTTTAATTGCTGGGTCCGTAATTTTTTTTTTTGTTGTATGTCTTTACTATTATTCTACTAGGATTTGGAAGTAGCTCTGCCTTCGGAAGTAGTGCCACAGGAGCATCATCATTTGGGTTTGGAACTACAAGTAAGCCATCAGGAAGTCTAAGTGCAGGTTGGTTTGTTTTTATTGAATTCAAGTTTATCTTAAGTGTTATAGTTAAACTGCTGCACTTAGTGCAAGAAAGCTTCTAAAACAAATACACTTAAAGCTGCATGAGTATATAACCATTAAAGTAACTGTTTACCTGCTAAATACATGTTTTCAGAGAACTTTTTTAGATTTTGGTAAGTCTCCCAGGTAGACAGTATTTGAGTGAGAATTAATGTTTTCTGTTTGATGCTGTCTCTCTAATTAGGGGTGGAAGCAGGAGGTGAGGTTGAATCAGATTCAGTCTGAGGCACAGAAATGCAGTTATTACTCAAATACACAGGCTATACAGTTACTTAACTATTAAAATTAGTATGTGAGTTTGTGACCAGTATACCAGCAATTTGACTTCCATATTTAGAAATATAGTTAATACTTTTTTAGAAGCCCAGAAGGTTTCCTTAAAACTTTCTGCTTATCCTTTCTATTTTAATATTGTTACAGACACTGTGTCTCTGTATATATCCATAATTCATTGTGTTAACTTCTTTGACAAGCATTTTTGTGGCAATTGAACTACTCAGTACTCATTTCACTTTAGTTTAATTTTGTTGGCGATGAGAAAATGAAAATAAGGATGCAATTGCTCCTTAACTCAGGTGTCTGAAGACTTAGTTGCTTCTGTAGCTTTCATCTCTATTTACTTTTTAAATGGGTATTTGATTTTGAGGCAAATAGCTTACTGTACTCAGGCTTACAGTCTCACTTCAATGACAAGAGTACCATGTGTCTTGGGATTGGATGTTGGTAGCACACTTTTTTTTTAAAAAAGCAAGATTTTTTTTTTTTAACTACTTTTAATACAGACATAACAAGTGGCTGGTGTTTATTAAGTCCACAGTAGACCAGCTTGAACCATGGTCTTGTTAGTTGCCATGCTTCTCAGTTTGTTTTTCCCTTGGTTAGTGACGGGTTATGCTGTCAAATTAGGCCTGTAACATACCTTAAGATTTGCATTTTAAGGTGGAAATAGCTCACTCCTGAGGTGGCTGTGTAACATTCCTGCATGTGTAAGGTGCTAGTAAATTCTTGGTCGAACATCTCTGATTTTGTAGTATGTAGTGTCTAAGCATCATCCTTTTTGCTTGATTTTTAATAGTAGAAACAAGTGGAAAACTTACACTGCATACATTTTTGTCATGTAGCTTATTTTTCCAGAACCTACATGAAATTGCCTGTTACTAATATTTATATAAACAGTATCGCAGCATTTCAAACTACAAAGTTACCAAGTACATAATCTGGGGCTTAGGACATTAAAAATTACAATTCAAAATCTAGTTCTATGGATCAGTTGTCCACCACTGCTGAGGTATCAAGCCAAAGGAAGTAGCAATGTCTTGTCTTGCTATGCTGATGATGTGCAGAGGCAATTTAATTGTCATTTCTCTGCATTCCCCAAACCAGGCTTTGTCATGGTGGCAGTGCCCCTATTCTCTCTTGAGCAGTGAGGGAATTGCACCCAATAAAATGAAGACTGTCTTTTGTGATCTCAAGTGTCTCAGCTACTGAGTGATGACCAAGAATAGAAAAGATTAAATGTAATTCCTGTCACCTTGTGAATCTAAAATAAAGTAGTCATGAAACCCTGATCTAGACTAGGATTATGGAATAGAAGCCCAGAAGCACATTAATTTTTACCTTTTATATCCAGAATCTTCTGCTCTGTAGCTTCTGGATTGCATGTGATCTTGAGTTTAATTTTATTGAAGGTGTATAAATTACTTTGAATGACGCCTGAGGCTCACCAGTTTATGTAATTTTTTTTTTAATTTTAACATAGCTTATTAGACAACATTTACAGCATCCTAAAGCAATATTCTGGTTCATATTACACACACAGAGTTCTTGTGAAAACTGAGATTCTACATATGCTTCAAGTCTGAGTTGAAAATTTGTGTTAGAGACTTATTTTTATTGAAGAGTGGCAGTCTCAATACATGGCATAAGAGATAATCAAGTGGGGTCATGGCTGGACATACTCATACTGCTGAAAAATGGACCAGAATGTAATCCATGTGTACCTATACACGCAGCTTTTAAATACAGAGGCTATAGTAAATCAGTCAAAGCCATGCTGGGAATATTTTTTTGATCTAGTGCACCTATTGTGATGTGGGGAATGAAGGCAGAAGTAGATTGCCTTTGAGATCTGCTGAACTGCTGTTTATCCCTATAGTGTTTAGTGTTAAAATAAAACCAAAATACTGTTATGGGAAGGTGTGTACCTCATGTTTGACTTGCCTATCTAAGGGCTGCCTGAAGCAGAGTTGGAGAAGCCTAATGAACAATGAAGTGTACAACCCTGAGGTCCTTCAGGTTGTCATTTACTTTCTGAAAACAACTGTTTATGCACTAGTAATACTAATTTCAACAAAGAAATTGTTGATTGCATTGTAGCCATGGTTCAAGACTTTGTGACTTTTCCCTCTAGAACTGAACTATCCCATGACTGGTTTCTCTTTCTTTGCAACATGGGTAAGACTGAATGTATACTGTGTTCAGGGCTTGGGTTTTTTTCCCTGACGATCCTTCATTTGAGTAATCTGCTTTAGGGTTTGCTTTACTCTTAAGAAAAGAACTTCATATCATAGCCTTGTTATGTTGTAATGATAGGACAAAGCTATTTAAATTAATGTCTCTTCTGCCTTTCTGATGACACTTCTAATGTAACAATTACAGTCCAAGTTATTTTAAGATTTTCTTCAACTGATCATCTTGGTAATGAAACTAAATGTTCCATGTGTTTGCTTTGATAGAAGAGGACAGAGGAGTTAAAAGAGCACAAATTGCTCAACTAGTCATTCAGTTTTTCCAAAGCTTTGTTTTCAGTGCTGAAGAGAGGCAAAGGTATCCCAGTCAGTAGTGCACAAGTCCAGGAGCTCCAACTCCAGCTTTGCCATAGACCTGCTGTGAGAGAAGTGAGTGGGCCGTGGCCTGCTTGTACCCTCCCTCCCACCCTACATATACATTGCATATTTAGACTGAGATTTGAGGAGTTGTGGTTCTTCTGTTGTGCAATTTCAGTGGGACTTCTAGATTCTGTGGTTGTATGGATAATGGTTTAATAGACTTGTGATTTGGGATACAATTGTTTGCAGTCACTGAAGTAAGCTTAGTGCTGTAACAGCCTAGTTGTCACAGCAAGTCCAAGCGTTAGCAATGTTGCATACTGTTGTAGATCTGTGCTGGTCAAAAGTAGTACAAATATTTGTAATAAAGTGACTGGTGTTCCTAAGTCCAAGGAGAACAAGCTTGCAATCCTGACATAACTTGTATTTTAAAAATACTTTTCCTTCCCTCACAAGGCTTTGGCAGCTCGACTACATCTGGGTTTAACTTCAGCAATCCTGGCATCACAGCATCTGCTGGCCTGACATTCGGGGTGTCTAATCCTGCATCTGCAGGCTTTGGGACAGGAGGGCAACTTCTTCAGCTGAAGAAACCTCCAGCTGGAAACAAGCGAGGCAAAAGATAGGACCCCCTATCTGTAGGGAAGGGGAAGTGAATCAACTTTGTTCATCTGAAAAGTCTATTTTTCTAGATTGATCCGTTAATTAAATTGCATCCCAGGAGATTTATAAGAATTTTGCTACTTTTCCCTAGTCTGAAATAAAAAAAAAAAAAACGAAATCATATTGAACAGCTATTTTCTTGTGAATAGAAACCCATTTATGTATTTTTATTTTTGGCCCTAGTTTTAGAAATGTTCTATACTGCATTACTAGTAAAGAATCTTGTAAAACCATCTATTTAACCTAATGTTAGTAGCAGAATTATTTTTTGTTAATAAGCTTTATACCATATGAATATATGCATATTTGGTTTTTTGTACAGATAAAATATATTCTAGTACAAATACTAGAGTTCATATCTTCTGTTCCTGGATATGGCCTTTAAATCTACTTCAGGGTGGTTTTGTGTATATGGATGTAAATATATACAGTACAGTGCACACAGCTGTGTGTACGTATATGTATATATATATGTATAAAATACAGATGTGCAAACCTTGCCCCATAGACAGGTCTCCTTTTCTTTGTGTCTTCTGTTTCTCCATGTTGCCCTGTGGTCCCATATCCTGATGTTCCTAGGAGTTTCAAATGGAGGGTCCTGGGCTATGTCATCATTGCTTCTTGTGTTTTGTTGTTGAAGACCAGCTGAAATACATCGTTTACTATTTCATAAAGTTTGGTGAGTAGTGGTTAGTAGCTGGATTTTTTAAACCTTTTTCTTGACACACTTAGCAGCCAGCTCTAAAGAAGAATCTGAGATTTTGATGCAGACATTTCATAGGTAATGTTCCCAAACTGTTTGGTTTTTGGGTTGTGTTTTGTTTTGTTTTTTTCTGAGCTGAGTAGTGAGGTGTTGCAGCATTTCAGCTGAAAGCTCGGGATGCCACAAGCATCTGTGTGCAAGCAGAGTTGTTTGGCTGGGTGAGCTTTTCCCTGTGATTGGGGGAAATAGGATGTGCTATTTTTATGAAAACCCAAATTAGCTGTTACAAACCCAAGTTGATTCACTTGCTTCTCATCAGCACTGCTAGCACTGACTTTAAAGCAGTTGTGTATCTGCTTTCAGTATGAGTTATAGTACAATAATTTGCTGCTAAAGAATGGAGGAGGAAAATAATGTAGTTTGAAGGTTAAAGCTATTGCAACAGCAGTTTATGAATCTCATATTACAACATCATAGCATGTAGCACTGCCTTTCCCATTTGGTGTGCACTAGAAATAGCTGGGAAGACATCTTAAGGAGGAAATAATAGATCAATTGAAGTTTTAACATGGAACTTTGGAGCCAAGTTGCTTTTTAGGTAGAAGATGTTTTGTATATAACCTGCATCAAATGAATATTCACCATCATTTTCACAGAAGCACCTTTTTTTCTAAAACAGTTACAGTGCATAAGATTTTTCTAGTACCAGGTCATTTGCTTTCTATTGTTGAAGTGTTATTACCATTTTGTATGCTTTGGAAATGTCTGCATTCAAAAGTGAGTGCTCTTTGACAAATATTTGGTTCGTCACTTGTTCTGATAAAATTAAGGGAAACTGAGCACAGAATCCTTTACTTTTGTACTTGTATGTTGTTGCATCTTTGTGAGCCATCTCTTAGGAAGGGATATAATGTGGGGGTTTTATGTCTTGGAAAAAGCTTACAATTTATTTTGATTTCAAGCTTTTTTTAAAACTTTTATTGGGCTGCAGTCAAAACCGTAACGTTTGTATTCCTTTGTTATTGCTTTTTTTTAATAGTTAATATGTTAAACCACTGGACTTTCTTGTAATGTATTAATTTGTGAAACTAATTCTAAATGTGTACTGTTTGTCCATATGTGCAACTTGAGCATTGTGCAAATAAAGCGATGATGCTGTGACCCTTGTAATACATATTTGCCTGTTTGAAAGATCATTTCCTGCTCTTCTGCTGTTACAGGACAAAGTCAATGGCTCATCCATAGAATTCCTTTCCCAAGGATTTGTGTAGTGCAAGATTGTTCTTGCTGAAATTAGGGCCTTTATCTTTGGATTGAAAGGGGTGGGGGGTGAATGGAGATGGTGTCTTGTGGGCTTGTCTAAAATCTCTTCAGTGTGCTACATAAAGCTGGACCATTCAGTGTAGGACAGACAGCACTGGGTATGGCTTTAAATTCAAAAGCAGCCTGAGCCTCCTGGGCACCTCTGTTATGTTTATTTTCACATTCAGGCAACAGTTGTGTCCTTAATTTAGCCTAAGTGAAAAAGTGATTATGTAATAGAATAATCACTTGCTAGAGCACAAACTAAAATCAAGATGGGATTTGAAATAATTATATTACCAGGATATTACTTGGGTGGTTGAATTTAGCAATGATTTTCAGGGTCTCTTTCAAAAAAAAAAAAGTTTTTCCAATTTAATGACGTGTAACATAATTAGCATCTTCCTCACCACAGGACAACAAAGTTCAGCTATATCCCATCTACATATTCATAACATAACTGTATGTTGAACCTCAATTGTTTTTATAGCATCATTTTAAAAATTGAAATAACATTTGGGAATACAGATTTATTGGCCTTTTCACCCCTCTCTTTGACATCAGTGGTAATTCTTTGTTTTTTTCCCCGTCCATTACTCACGTTATAGCAGAAATTATCTGGAGTCAGTCCATGTCAGCTCTTGCACATTATTGTTTATCATACCTGGAATGTCTCAGCAGAAGATCTGAAAGAGTCACCTTCTAGGTTCTTGGTGAGAAGTCGAAGTAATTGTAAAGAAATATCCACCTGTACTGTAGAGCATAAATGCCTCATGCTCTGTAGAAGTTTGTTTTCTTAAAAGTTTTATTCAAGTTTGAGGACAAAGAACTGGCTATGCACAGAATTGTCTAACATTAAATTATGCAGGTTTTGGATTAGTTGCTGGGGTTGTGCTTTCAGGCTGTTTCCCCTCTTCCCTCATTAAAAACCTTTCAAGGCTGTGGCTAGTGTCTCTGGACTCTGATGGGCCGTTAAAGTATCGCAGTATTAGATTTATACAGCTTCTCATGAGAATCAGCAGCTGGGCTTGGGGACTTGCTGTGACAGTGCCCATGGAGCTTCAGCCCAGCTATCCCATGTAAGCTCCACCCAGCTGTACAGGTAGGTGGTTTAAAAGGAGGATGGAGGTCCTGAGGGGGGAGGAGAAGAGTGGGGAGAGATGAGGGGGATGTAGAGCACAAAGCTTCCTGTGAATGAGAGAACTCATTTTAATTGTCTGGGATCATGTTTGTTGAATGTCTACACGTATTTTTGTAGTCCCAAGTCAACTGAGTTTGTAATATAACTTTTTGTATTGGTTGAATGGTTCATTTAGTAGGTAGAAATGGATGATCGTAGCAGTTTCTTTTTCTGCATACGTGTGACATTTTTTACTTGTAGGGGGAAAAAAAAATTCATAATCAAAGGAGTTTAAAAAATAAGAGTCCTATCAGAATTCCAGTAGCTGTGGTGAGGAATGCTGCTTTCACCAAGTGGCAGGAGGCTGCCAGTAGCCATCCTGCAGTACCTCACCTTTTGTTTCCAGGTCGTTCACATTCTCTTACACTTTCTTTTTAAGGTAGTAGGATTTTGTTAAACTTCCTTCTGACCCATTTGACTGCTGTTGTGATGAGGTTTATTTACTTAATGCTTTTTTTTTTAAATTTAGTTTCGGGAATCTAGTCTTTATAGCCACCTGCTGCAGTTGCAGTGCCACACTGAGGAGGCGAGTAAGCTACATGTGACTTCAGCTCTGGAAACTTTTCCAAAGAATGGCTTCCTTTCTGTTTTCTCACCCTTTAGAAGTAAGGCAATTCTAGCTCATTATGAACAGGTTATATTTAAGTTTAGAAGCTTCTACAAACTAGAAAACTTCTTGGTTGATTTTACTTCTGTTTGAGTATAAATCTGTCCCCACCAAGATATTGGGTCAATTCTGCTGAATGCTTGCATGGAAAATTTGGAATATGTTCCTCTGTCCTGAACAGGTCGATAGCTGGACAGGTGATGGTTATTTCACTTGTTTGTTCAACTACTGTTTCAGAGGCTGATGGATTTCCTGTCTCTCTTGAATGCAGGTGTCAATTATGGTGTGTGCTTGGGCAGCAGCTGAACAGCAGGCTTCTAGAACGTTAATTGCTTCCAAGATCCTGTTCTGATTAAAGGCTGGTGTTTCTCCTGGGCAAGAAGTCCCTTGCTGGCTCATTGTGTTTAATGTGGCATGTTGTGGTAACAGGGTATGCTTCAGAGGTGATGATCCCAGTCACAAAAGCAAGCTAAGATGGTGAGGTTTTGATCAGACACTACAGTGTAAAGGGAAAGAAACACAACCTTGACAAATATTCAAAATCAGGCTACTATATGAAACTTGAAATTCTGAATAACAGTAAGTGAAGAAGGAGGTATGTTTTCATAGGGGGGAAAAAAAAAAAAAACCAAAACCACAGTGACAGGCAGCTTGAATAGACTTGCAGTTGGGTGAAAACTTGTAGAAAAAATATGCACAAACTATGTGCAGTTGGGTAGCTAAAGCTGGTCCATTAACTCCATGGTTAAGAACTGAAGTAGGAGCTACTCTAAACTGGAAAAAACACCAAAAGCCTCTAGTCCTGTGAACAGTGAACAGCCATTTCTTGGCTGCTTGCACTACCTTCATTTCTCTGTCAACATACAGATAAAGGAATTGAACCTTTACACATAAACACTTTTGCTGTTGTTCTAACCAGGGATAGGATAAGGTGCAGGTGGTAAAGGAGTCCTTACTGAAGGAGAGTCCACCTTTCAGAAAAAGGCTTGGAATGGGTGGGCCCAAGTGCTAAATGGATGCAGTGGCAGCAAGCAGTTAGGCTAGCACTGCCCTCATCCTTAGTCGGGTAGGGACATTTCTCCCAGCATGTCACTGTTGCTGATTTGTGCAGCCGTGCCTGGCACAGCTCTCCTGCATGGTGCCTCCTTGACCCTTAAGAGCAATGCCAAAGGCAGCTACAGCGGTTCTGATTAGCATTGGGTTGGAAAAACCAAGCCAGCAGAAGTGATGGCAAAAGGAACACGCTAGCCTTACTGCCACAGAAAAGAGTCTTGGCAATGCACGTTAGACTGGCTTCAAGTACGAATGTGCGGTTGTTTTTTTTTTTTTTTCCTTTTAATTTTGGCTGTGAAGGGAACTGGTGGCTGCCTGAAGGAACTCGCTGTGGCTGAGGTTGCCATTGCTCAGCCCAGGGCAGCAGTGCAGTGCTTCGACTACAGAAACGGCTCCCAGCGAGCAGGCAGGTGTTCACACACCTCCCACAGCCAAACCAGAAGCCAGCCTTATCCCCAGGGAGGAGAGGCCTGCTTGGGCCACTGGCTCACCCTCTGCAGCACGGACCATGGGGGCGAAGCTCCTACTGCATCCCACAGTAGCAAAGTGAAGTTGATGCTGCTTTGAGAGCAAAGCTTTTAATGTTGTTAATGTTGGCTTCAGGCATGGTAATACTCTCAGTGCCAATAGCAACGTCCTGCTTGTATTGGAGATGTGCAAAGTGGCTGGGACCGTCAGGGAGGCTGTGGCAGCTCATCCTGATTGCCCTGTGCAGGGCAAGAACTGCTGTAGTGAAGATATAGGTCTAATGCAAATGCCTATGAGCTTAAATTTTTACTTTGCTGGTAACAATATTCATCTAGAAACACTTTTCTGAGTAATTTGTCAGTTTACACTTGGTAAGTGCCACCTTCCTAGTTGCTTTATTTCTAGTTCCCCCATGCATTATTTCTAGTACTGCAGCTGTTACCTGTTGCTCTGTCATGGTAGTACCTGCACTGTTGTGTAACAGGGTT